TGATGATATCTCCCAAGGGTAACATGTAAAGCGTGAAAAGCAACAGTCTGAGCCTTTTGGCACTCCATACTGTAATTGTAATCGATATGATACCTCATCATTCACTGCTACGAATTGATGACGGTCAGATAAGTAAGATTTGAACCATGACAATGCAATTCCACTAATGCCAACATAATTTTGTAGTCTACTCAAAAGAATGTTGTGGTCAACAGCAGGGCCGGCCCTAGCTTTTTAGGGGCCCTAAGAAGATTTTCAAATATTATTATATTTTTTATATTATAAAAATTATATTTTCTGCTGTCATTTTTATTTTAGTTAAAGTTTTGGTACTGTTTTGTTGTGTTGTTTTTATTAGTTTTGTTGTTTTCAAATGTCTATATAGTTATTACATTTTATTTCAGATTTAGTTTTAGTTATTTTAGAACATCAAGATAAACTAAATGAAAACGGGAAATGTTGCCTTGTCAACTAGCTAAAATAAAAGATTTTAAGTATTTTATTTCAGTTAACATTTATTTTATTTCAAGTAACGAAAATATATATTTTTAATTTTTAATTTTACTTAACTATAATAACACTGGTGTAAAAAATGTCTTATTACGAATCTACTCAGTATTTATCTTTCAATACATAAATATGAAGAAATGTTTACTTAAGTACTTTTAAAAATTGTTACTATTCTTTTAACTATCGTTAACCGTTGCTTTCAGAAAAATATATGAATATTTAGTGAGATTAATGCTTTAATAAAGCAAGAACACCTGGAAATGAAAGAGAATAATTTAGTAGTAGTAGTAGTAGTTTTATTCCTGATTAAAATGCAAAAATGTATAAGTGTAAACAAATGTCTGAATAAAGATATGGCATATTTAAATATTTGACGTTATTTAATAAATACCAATTCTGAATGGCTGTTTGAAAACATGTAAATATTGTCTGACTTCCTTTGACCTCTGTGACAAACAAGCAGGTGTCAGGAGTTGTGCGGCACTGCTGTGTGTGTGTGTGTGTGTGTGTAGAGGGGTAACCATGGTAACGGTTGTATTTCTGCTGTTCCTAAAGCGCCTCATGCTGTCAGAGAGTGAACTGCATTGTTATTCAGCCCATTTGCTGCTTTGTTCAGATCAATGAGAAAATCTGACCGAACTTTCACCCAGCAAACGCACAGTGCTTTAAGTGGTCGATGGAAAATAAGCTCATGTGCTTTCTAAAAATCTAAGCCATTCGGATAATAAGATATCTAGTATTATTCATGTAGTTTGAAGCGCCCAAGACAACAATACCGTTCATGTTCATTACTGTTGTTACATTCAAAGCGTGTCCTCAAAGCGCTCGCAGCACGATGCAAACCGCCATTACAACAATATATTTTAAAAATCCATCACTTACCCTTATCTGCACTGTTAAGACTATTGCCAGTAAGTTACTGTAACTACCCCTTTACAGTAGCTTATCGCAAGTTTATTTTACAGTATAATGCCCTTACCGCAATTTCATTTTACAGTATGATGGCCTTTC